CAGCCCCATGTCCGAACCTTACATCGACAACCCAGAGGCGCATTCCCAGCCTCTCACCAAGTAATTAATCTCTTAACCTCCTTCATGCCTCTCACTGTGCACGCTCACGTCTAATATGTGTTACTCCTCAGATTCCAGCTGATCAGAGTCAGCGCCAAGGGCATGAATGATGGCTGCAAGTGGGTGGAAATGTTTGAGGATGTCCGCATGGTGATATTCTGCGTCGCGCTCAGTGACTATGACCTAGTGGGAACCCCTGTGAATGGCAATCTTCAGAACAAGATGATGCAAAGCAAGGAGTTATTTGAGGCTACGATCCGGTATGCGAAACTTTTTCCATGACTATACTAATCTGGGTGCTGTATCATGGTCTTCAGAATGGAAATTTCGAAAATGCGAGTCATCATCATTTGTCACTTGTGCTGGAGCAGGCAACCGTGCTTCTGCGACACTCCTTTCGTGCTGGTGCTGAACAAGTACGACCTGTTCGAGGAGAAGATCAGCCGCGCCCCGCTGACGGCGTGCGAGTGGTTCGGCGACTTCTCCCCGGTGCGGACGCAGAGCAACAACCAGACTCTCGCCCAGCAGGCCTACTACTACGTGGCGATGAAGTTCAAGGAAGCGTACAACCACCACACGGGGCGGAAGCTGTTCGTGTGGCAGGCGCGCGGCCGCGACCGCCAGACGGTGGACGAGGCCTTCAAGTACATCCGGGAGGTGCTCAAGTGGGAGGAGGAGAAGGACGAGAACTACTACCAGGAGGAGTCCTTCTACAGCACCACCGAGATGAGCTCCTCCCCCTTCATCCGAGCCGAATGAGACCGTCGCCCCCTGCCCCTGCCGAAGGCCAGTTCCTACTAATGATGCACCATTTTTTCCGCCAGTCGGTTCCGTACAAAAAATCATTCATTGATTGTTGGTCTGTAAAAAGTTAATCTGCAGGTTTTTTCTTCTGATGGATGGGATGTTTTCCATGTTTGTGCCATGCTTCTTGAGACAGATAGAGATGGAGCATGATTTATCTGTTGGTGTGTATCTAGTGAGTGGTAGTAGTTTTCTTCTAGTCAGTGCACAGATTGACCTGTTGGCACCAAAATTGATTAATTTCGTTCTGGGACTGCTGCTGTTGGGAGTATGTATTCCTTTTGGGAAGCAGAGAAAACAAACAAAGACTTTGCTCCGATGATAATAAACAATAAAAAGAAAGACTTTGCGGCATTTGTTTTCTTTTTGTTCAGGTGAGGAAAAGCATTTGTCATCACACTTTTTTTTGTTGGCTTGGTTTTTGCCCTTGAATTGTTCACTAATTTTCATTCCCTCGCGTCATCTAATTCCGAACAGAGGGAGTAATATCTTTATGTGCTTTCTATATCCAGTTACAGTACGTTACAATGGGAGAAAAAAAAATCATAATCTCTAACGGCCCGGGAGAAAAAAAAAATCATAATCTCTGACGGCCCGAGATACAATATCACTCTCATTTCCAAAAAATCATGAACAATTTTTGAAACTCATGAACATTTTTTAAACTTGTGAACATATCTGAAATCTTGAACATTTTTACAGATGTTTGAACATTTTCTAAAATCATGGACATTTTTTGAATTCATTAACATTTTATACTATTTGCAAACATTTTTTAAAACAACTGTGAACATTTTTTAAACATTTTTCTTCAATAGTTGAACATTTGTAGAATCGATGAACATTTTGTTGGAAATTGGTGGAACAATTTTTGAAATTCATGAACATTTTTTTATTTAACGAACATTTTTTGAAATGCATGATCATTTTTTCAATCAGCGAACATTTTATGAATCAATAAACTATTTTTGTAAGTCACGAACAGTTTTTCAATTTTTAGGATATTTTCCAATTCATGAACATTTTTTGAATGGCGATTTTTTGTTCAATTTCATTCACATATTTTAATACATGAACTTTTTAAAAAATCATAAACATTTTTTGATTTCTCGAATATTTTTGTAAAAAATTGCGAACATTATTTGAATATGAGAACATTTTTTTAAAATCATGAATATTTTCTGAATCAAGAAACATTTTATTTAAAAATTCTCGTTTCTAAATTTTTCAGAACATTTTTGAAGTTCCAAATTATTTAAAGTAGAGAAAAGGAAGATGAAAAAAGAAAACAAAATTTAAAAGACAGGACTCGCGGACATGGGCCGGCCCAAATAGGCACATTGTGTCTTCTCCCAGCTTTCAAAGCGTGATATAGAAGATTCCTACTGTATGGGCCGGCCCAGGTGTGTATTCCCCTATGTGAAACGTTTTTTTATCACTTATAAGTGACATCGCTAGGTAATATTTTGCAACTTTGGAGACAATTCCAGTGACGTACCGTCAAAAGCAATAGCTGCTTTATTATTAGGTATGATGAATATAGAAGAATAGTATTTACGATGAACTATCTTGCTAAGCAGGGCTGCATGTTAACAATGTTGTGTAGGTAAAGAGGAGGTTACCATATATTACTAATATATTAGAATTTTGATGAGAGGATCAAATATCAACGCTCATAATCCTGTTATAGCAATCTTGTGTTGTTGTTAGTTGTTTTGGATTTGCTCTTGTATCTCCAATCAATCAGAAATGCCATGTGGTTCGGCACTTTATCCAATGATGAGGACCGCAGCCCCGTGGGGGCGGAGGTTTGAACCATTGGATATATGATCATAACCGTAACCCCTTTCCTTTGGCCTGGTCACCGATTAACCTTCGTCGATGGTGGTCTAGAATCATAGCTGAACTTTTATTTATTGAAAATGTCTGGGAACAACAACCCCTTCTCCCACTCCTCCTCATTCCACTACACATTGCACTAATTGAAACACTTTGTAATAGTGCACATCAAAGTAGAGTTGTTTCATTTGTCGCCTTGCTAAAAATTCACATCTCCACCTTAAAAAGATTTGGGCCTAATAATCATATTGGTATATAAAGTTTACACCCTTTATGAGATTTCTCACCAAGTTTAAAGAGATGATGGTGCCCTTGTGGCAATTCATCAAAGAGAATCAATACGAAGAGGGAAAAAAGAACAAACTCACATCTCGTTGTGCGTCGTTTCCTGTGACTTCATCCGTCTGGCAATGTATTGATCATCCCCGTGCTCGTCTCGATCCGCCCTTCTGTTGCTCGGCCTTTATAATTTATTAGTATTATGAAGTGTTTTTGAAACTTGTTCTTTTTATAGCCTTGACTCCAGTTACCGTGTTTCCATGATATTAACTCTAGCTAAAAGACCAATGGCAAGATGGAACATTTTCTCTGACTGTTGGATATGATGAGTGAGAGGTGGCGACGATGTTGAATCAAGGAGGCAACTATGAAGAATACTTGAAAAAAAAGACAAGTAGATAGGTAAAAAGAATGAGGATGAGATTAAGCAAAATATAAAATATGATTAGAAATGAAACTATCGGCTGAGCTGCTCCCATATGAACATAGATACCGATCGTTATAGGGTTTGTTTGCACTGCATGCATAACTGAAACCCCATCTCAAAGGGGTATTCGGCGAAACAACACTTCCTACTTTTACATGATGCCATGACACTCTCAATGATGAAAGCAACATTTTTTATATGATCTGCCACCATGCTAAATACCACATTTTCATCTTTTAAAAAGTGTATAAGATACTGACAGTGAATAGAGTATCATAATTTTCTTACCAAGTGGAAAAGATGTTGATACCCTTGCACACGACAACTAGAAATTTTTCACCTCGGTAAAGCAATATAAGAGCGTTTATAGATCACTAGGAAGGGCAAAAAAGGAAAAAGAAAGGCAGAAAAAGAAACAGAGTCAACACTCTGTCCTCCAGTCTCAGCCCGTGTGCCTCTTCCCGACCGCATACCGCACCGCCGGCGTCCGCCGCCCCGGTCCCGCCGGCGCCGCATTCCGTCCGCCCGCCCGCCCGCCGGCGTCTCCCCAGCCTCCATAGATCGCACCTGCCCCGACCCCCCTCCGCGCTCCGCCGTTCAAACCTACCCCTGGCTAGCTCCTCCCGGCGACCGACGACGGCGCTCCGGCACGGCTCCTCCGGGAGGAACGGCGAGCGCCCCTAAACCTACCCAGTTTCGGTCTGGTCTGCATTCCTTGGTGATTCTCCTCGTCCCTTCGCCATTAGGAGGAACCCTAGCTCACCATCGCGTAAGGGGATCTCGGACCTCCGCCACTCCTCGCCGCTGGAAGACGAGGGCCTGCTCCGGGAGGTCCTCCTCCGCCGCCCTCCACAGCCATCCTCCCTCGTCTGAGGTACAGTACAAGGTAGTTTGTGGATTTGGGATCTGACTTCTCCCGGTAGGATCAGTCAAACACTGAATGAACACTTATATGTAGAGGGCTTGCCCTTGTTCAGTTTAAAGCACATATTTTTCTGCTCGCAGAGGTCTTTGTTTGCTGTGGCTGCTGGCATGGTCGACGCTGGTTCCATCTCGTACATTGTTGTAGGATTCATATAGCTGTGCGATTTGCTAGCTTATCTACACTATTATTATTATATGCCCTAATATCTGTAGCAAGTAGTCAAATTTAGCAGTTTAGATAGTGATGTTGATGCTGCCTGTGAATTGGCAATGCTATTCAACTGCTGCTTGCCTACCTAGCGCCAGCGCCAGCGCCATTTCCATGTCCAGCATTTATCATGTACTAGTATATGATGATGAGCAAAGTGAAGCCTAGTATTGCTGCTGCACAAATAGATTGCTTGGCACTTTGCTACCTGAAATAGAGTCTCGATTCCATTCGGACACCTTTTTTTGACCCTTTATTTATTAGCTGTCCGTGTGTAAGAAAAAAAAAACAAAGCTCGAAGTATGATATTTTGTTTCTGTTTCATGCTCTTTGTAGCTGACGGATTGGGCTGGGCTAGCTTACAGACAGTCTGTATACTAACTCAGCTCAGCTCTCCCTTCATTCTTGCCTCCAAAAAAAGGAGAGAAGGTGCACAAGAGAAGGTTCTGTGGTAACTAGATGATGTATCCTGCTGAGGTTCCCCAAGGCCAAGTGTAAGCTTCCCCATCCATTTCCTCTCCCTCTTCCTTTTTTGCGCACTACACTACTTTGTGTATGTGTGTTTGATTCTGGCAACTGCCCTGATTTGCATATGTGTGTTTATTGATCAGATTTCTTTTTTGTGCCAGGGCCTGTCCCATTCCCAGCTCGCCGCGTGTGGACGGCAGGAGGCTGCGGCGTTTCGTGGTCAAAGGTGCCGGCTCCGTGTCCAAGGTGCTCGGCGACGACAACCTCCTAATCGAGATCCTCGTCCGTCTCCCTCCGAAGCCGTCCTCCCTGCCACGCGCGTCTGCCGTATGCAAGCGCTGGGGCAGCATCCTCTCTGACCCCGTGTTCCACAAACGCTTCCGCAAGCACCACCGGAAGCCTCCTCTGCTCGGCTTCTTCCAAGGGTATGCTAACCGCTTTGCTCCCATCATGGACTCGCCCGACCGCATCCCTGCCGCTCGCTTCTCCTTGCCCAAGAGCAGCACGCCCTACAAAGAGCACGCAGAATACATGGGCTGCCGCCATGGCCTCGCTGTCGTAATCAACAAGCATGAGCGGAATACCGTCGTGTGGGACCCCCTCACCGGCCAACAGCGCAGCGTGGCTTTTCCACCGTGGGTGGATGATGCCTTTATGGGGTGTTTTTGTACCTGGCACGGCACGGTGTTATGCGCTGATGCCGAAGATGGGCATGTTCACGGAGATTGCTTCTCGAGCCCGTTTAAATTGGTTCTGGTCTATGGGGGTGGATACAATACGAAGGCATTTTGTTCTGTCTATGACTCGGTGTCTGGTGTTTGGGGAGATGTTTCCTCGACCACGATAAGAAATGAAATTTCTGTGTCAAGGCCCAGCATCCTAGTTGGGAATGCACTTTGCTGGTTGATTTCTGGAGGTGATATCCTTGTGTTTGATTTCGAAATTCAGAGCTTTGATGTGATCGAGAAGCCGGCAGAGTACCATGTTGACGACAGGTGTTTTCAGCTCTTACGGATGGAGGACGGCGGACTTGGCCTCGCTGTTTTGTCAGGACTGGTTGTCCAATTATGGGAGAGAAAATTTAACTGTGATGGTGTTGTTGGATGGGTGTTGCTGCAGAAAACTATTCCACTGGAGGGGATGCTTCCAAGGGGAATGAATTATGTACTTTTCGTGGGGTATGATGAGGACACAAATGTGATTGTTCTCACTACGATGATTGGCAACTTCATGATCCAACTTGACTCCATGCAAATCAAACGTATTGGTAAAAGAAAAAACATGTGGCACAACACCTTTTATCCCTACACGAATTTCTATACTGCAGGTTATACCCCCTATCTACATTGTACAAGCAAAAAAGTCCAATTAGTTTGTTTCACTCGTATTCATTCCAGTTACTTTCGATACATGATTGCCGTAACATTGTTCCCTTGATTACGGATTGAACGATATATAAAATACATTATGTTGTTTGTTTCTTTGTTGGTATGGTGATCTAATTTCTTATTATTACAGGGCTCCATTAAAGCTAGAACAGGAATACAAATATTACTTTGGTGCCTGGCCATTGCTAAAGGCTAGATACGATTATGTGCTTGTAATGATCTTTTCATCAGAGGGTTTCTAAAAAATGGAAAGCTGCAGTAAGAGATAGTGAAAGCATCTAAAATAATTAAGCAATTGGAACATCTGGAGGCGGCTTAAAGCTTGTTATATATGTTTTCTTATTCACTATTTTTCCTTGCAAGATTAAAATTTACCTTGATCGATCTTGATAAAATCTTCAATTCATAATACCATGTGCTCTAGTTTTTGTCGAAGAGTAGCACTAGTTCACTAATTTCACATAATACTATCTAATGCTTGTTTTGGAACTCTGGTTTCTCAATCGGTGCATATGTTGTTCTGACCTTATGGTCATAACTTGTACAAAGCTCACTCAAATAATTCTGGATGATTTCTTTCTCTGCACATGTAAACAATTTTACCTTTCTTCTTTGGACCTGGCAATAGATGTGGCTTCATTTACCATCCTTGATTCAACTTCTCTTTGAGTTTTCATATGGTTTGGGCTTCTTTTGCTTGTAGGCAGGGGAGTTGGGCGGAAAGGGGCGGCTAATGTGTTATCTTGGTCAAACAACTTAGGTAATTTTCTCTTTTCATATATCTTTTTTTTTGTGGTTACCCAATTTATAAGATGGTGCATAGTCTATGCTTACATTTTCAAGACGCACACACTTGGGTAGAGATACCAGACATTTTTCCTTTGTACTTGAGCCTCACATATAGCTTGGCACACAAAAGTAAATCTGGAATGAGTTGACAATCTTGGAAGTTCAATTTTGTTTTGCCTCGAGAAGATAGGCGGTGAGTGACCAATCTCGTAGTTTCTACTGCGATCGTATGTAGGTAGTTATATAGCAAGAATCTTGAAAACACGTCATCGTATTGGTGCCAGTACAAACTAAGTGTTCCCTTATTGTTGTTCTCAGTTTGTAGTATTAGCTTGTGTACTGGGATGATTCAGATATGGATATTTTTTTTGTATAATCTGCACTACGGCTAAGTTAATGCTTTTTTTGGGGACCATACAAAATTTGTTCCGCTGTGAGAGAGCATTATAAATTTGTTTCACTGTGATGACATTGATTGTTCTGCAGGTATTAAGAGTTAAATTCGGGTTGCTGAGACACCGCCATGGCTAGTTGGCGTAGGGAAGTTCTTCAATTTTGCTTAGATGCAGCCATGGCTAGTTGTTGTAGTGAAGTTCTTTATATTTGTATGGCGTGGTCGACGCTTAAACTGTCCCACTATGTAGTCTGTTGGATCATCTACTATGTATGCTGTGGCATGTGGTGTGATCGATGCTGAGATGTCAACTCTATGTAGTATGTAGGTAGTTCTACTTTTAGGTACCGTGGGCTGTGGAGTGAACCTATTGGGTTTAATCATCTGAACTCGTATATATTAGTATCTAAGATCAGCAGACATCTGTCAATTTGCGTGCCTGATTAGTGACTCGTGGAATTGGTTCGGCTAATGCTTTGCTCTGTGACGTGAGGTACTACCGTACTAGCAAGGTGGATGGACAATGAGCAGTAGGCTCTGGCATTTTACAGAGTTTCTTTGTGAAGTCCCTAACTGTGAGTCTTGCTAGTGATCTTAAGGTGATAATGCTGCTCACATCACCACTTGCAGCAGAGGCAGACAATGCCTGTATATGCTATTTTTTACTGCCTAGCTAGAGCCCCAGTTGTATATGCCCAGTTGCTAGTGGTCTACCTGATGTTTCCTTAGTTGGGTGAGACTGACTTGGCTCTTTCTTGGAGACAAATCAGAAAAATGTTGTCAGTTTTTGTTTGAACTTCAAAGAGTTTTGTGGCTTGGCTCTTAATCAAAAGAGTGTTGTGAGTTTTTGTTTGACTGGAGAAAAAAAATACTGTTTTTTTTTGTTAAATGCTAGTCCTATTCTGGATCTGCCATGGAGATTTTTATTGTCCTGAATTACACTGAAGATGTTTTTCAGATCTTGGCCTTGCCGTTCGCGGCACTCGCCCATCAAAGTCAGTTATCCAGGAAAAAACAAAAGACCACTGCAGCCATGGCGACTGCAAGAGTGCCAACCGGGGACTGCCATGGCGACATTTTGCTTCCGACCGTACCTTGCTGGTGGACGAATTGGAAGAAGCATATAGGAACAAAAATTGGTTCTGAAAGTCAAGTTATTTGGTCAATCAATGTTCAGAATAGGATTTATAAATTGACAAAATTGAAAGAAACATGGGGAGGTGGTGGGTAATTTTAAGAAATATAAATTGTGTAAAAACAACTCCGTGAAATATTGCAAGAAAGTGTAGTAAAATAAAAAAATAGAAAACTTTAAAAAATAAGGATGTTCATGATTTTTTTCTTTCAAAGTCAGGTATCACAAAATAAAAAAAATGGAAAGAAAATATTTATGCTTTACCAAACATCATGGTTTCCCTAAAAATCATGGTTTTTAAAAATGAAATCATCTCACAAAAAAAAGAAATTATCTCACGGAAGAAAGTCTTGCCTAAAAAGACTACGATTTTCCATAACGAGTCTACCGAGGAGAAAATCATCTGACACTTGGGTTTTTTCCGAGAAACCTGCACATAGTCATCCGTATTTAAAAAAAATCTCCGTGGTTTTTTCTGAGAATATTATTTTCTCTGAGGTACTTAAGAGCAAGAAGACTGGCTTTTTTTTAAGTGCGAGTAAGAAGATTGTTTTTTTAGGCAAGAGATAGCTAGCTCATGGATCCCTCTGAGATTTCCCAAGGCCAAGGGTAAGAAGATTCACAATCCAGTTCCTCGCCCTCTGCATTACTTTTTTTTTCATGCCAGGGCCGATCTCATTCCCAGCTGGCCGCGTGTGTACAGCAGGAGGCTGCGCCGTTCTGTGCCGCTGGCCGGCCCCGTGTACAAGGTGCTCGGCGACGACAACCTCCTAATCGAGATCCTCGTCCGCCTCCCTCCGAAGCCGTCCTCTCTCCCCCGTTCGTCCATGGTATGCAAGCGCTGGGGCAGCATCCTCTCCGACCCCCACTTCCGCAGACGCTTCCGCAAGCACCACCGGGAGCCTCCTCTGCTCGGCTTCTTCCAAAGCTATGCCAACCGCTTTGCTCCTGTCATGGACCCGCCGAACCGCGTCTCTGCCGCGGGCTTCTCCCTGCCCAGGAGCAGCACACCCTGCAGCGGCCACGGAGAATACATGGGCTGCCGGCATGGCCTCGCAGTCGTAATCAATAAGCACGAGCGCAAGACCGTTGTGTGGGACCCACTCACCGGCCGACATCACATTGTGGCTTTTCCACCAGGATTCGACGACGCCTTTACAGAGAGTTTCTGTATGTGGCATGGCGCCGTGTTGTGTGCTGACGCCGAAGATGGGCATGTGCATGGAGACTGCTTCTTGAGCCCGTTTAAGTTGGTTTTGGTCTGCTGCGGTGGATACAATACACAGGCATTCTGTTCTGTCTACGACTCGGCGTCTGGTGTTTGGGGAGGTGTTTCCTCAACCATGATATCACGTATAATTTCTGTGTTAAGGCCCAGCATCTTGGTCGGGAATGCACTCTGCTGGTTGATTTCTAGAGGTGCTATCCTTGTGTTTGATTTCGAAATTCAGAGCCTCAATTTCATTGAGAGTCCGGCATACTACAATATGCCCGACGGGTGTTTTCAGCTCTTACGTATGGAGGATGGCGGACTTGGCCTCGCCGTTTTGTTGGACCTGACCATCCAATTATGGGGCAGGAAATCTAACTGTGATGGTGCTGTCGAATGGGTGTTGCTGCAGAAAACCATTCCACTGGAGGGGGTGTTTCCAAGGAGAACGCATTCTTTATTTTTTGTCGGTTATGATGAGGACACAAATGTGATTGTTCTCACTACGCCGACAGGAAATTTCACACTCAAACTTGACTCCATGCAGATTAAACAGATTGTAAAGAGAAACACCATGTGTTTGGACACCTTTTATCCCTACAGAAATTTCTATACTGGAGGTAATACCTCCCTGTCTACATTGCACAAGCTTAATGCTAACTATGATTTTGTGCTTGTAATGATATTTTCATCGGAGGGTTTCTAACAATTGGAAACCGGCAACAACTGCAGTAAGAGAATACAGTGAAACCATTTGCTATGTGAATAGTTTACCACTTGGCATATCTAGAAGCTTAAAGCTTGTTAGGTTTTCTCATTCACTATGTTTCCTTGCCAGATTAAAATTTATCTTGATACTAGTCGTCAATTAGTTTCTTTGGTGAGTTATAATCGTCAAATAGTAATACATGCACTTTAATTTTTATCCAAACGTAGTACTAATTCATTAACTTCACATAGTACTATGTAATGCTTGTTTTGTAACTCAGTTTTCCCAATCCGTGCATATATTGTTTTGGCATGTTGGTCAATAACTCGTACAAGCTCACTTGTACAAGTCCCAGCACTTATTTTTCTGGACCTGGCAATAGACGTGGCTTCATTAACTCTAATTACATGAGTATATAGTGGTTTGCACATATGCCTTCTTCATTAACTAAACTTCTCTTTATTTTCATTTGGTTATATGCTTCTTTTACTTCTAGTCAGGGGAGTTGGGTGGAAACGAGTGGATCGGGAACTGCGATCACACAACATCTGCTAACGTGCTATCTTGGCCGAAAAACTTAGGTAAATTTATGTTTTTGTACATCTTTTTTCTTGGTTACTCAGTTTAAGTAAAGCTGCATTGTCTATTCATTTTTGAACTGTGAAGGACACAGTAGGGGAGGCTTCTACAGTCTTGTATTAATAAAACAAAATTAAAGATACATCATATGTATAAGGTATAGGGTCTTTGACCCTAACCAAAAGAGAAGATACTAGTACAAGGTTTTTAGGTAATTTGTTGCACTAGGGAGCTTATGAAATCCTCAAGCTCAGACTTCCCCCTATATCTCAACAAGGGCAAAATCTTGATTAAATCTAGACAGCCATGATCTGTGAGAGTGGGGAATTCTTTGGAAGACCATTTTGTTTCGTTCCTTCCACAAGGACCAAACAGCTACAGTACACGCCTACATGAACATGGGTCTGTCACATGTCTGTTTGGCAGCAGTTAATAAGTTAAAATCTATCTCCATCAGACCCCCAGTTGATATTCAGAGAGGCCCAACATTGTCTGGCAGAAGGACATGAGAAGAATAGATGCACAAGAGTTTCTTTAGTCTGAAGCTCGCAGAGGATGCAGTTAACATTTCTTTTCAACACCTGGTCCAGTGATGTAGTGGCATCTGCGTAGCATGTTGTATGCGTTCAACCGATCAGACAAGAGCAGCCAAGCAAAGGCTTTCAGCTTCTTTGAGTTGCTGTGTGGCAGTGTTGTTCTGAATCTCTCGGACCTCCTCTCTGGCCTGCATTAATAAGGGGAGGTGGAAGGCCATATTCAGTGATTGAATGTCAAGGAATTCCTGTGCATTGCCGATTCTTATATTTGAAAAAAGCATACCTTTGAGTAGAGATACCAGAAATTTTTGCGTTGTACTCGGAGCCTCTCACATGGGCTCGGCACAAAAAGTAAATCCGGACTGAGTTGAAATCTTGGAAGTTCAGTTTCTTTACCTCAGATGATAGGCGTCAAGTCACTGATCTTTTAGTTTCTAACACGATCGTACGTAGTTATATAGTAAGAAACTAACAATTGGAAGTTCTTCTATTTATAGTGCGGTCGACGCTCAAAATATCCTGCTATGTAGTATGTAGGTTCTTCCGCTATGTAAGCTGTCTCCTCTATGTAGTATGTAGGTTGTCCTACTTTTCTTATGTAGTGTGGCCTATGAAGTGGAACTTGTCGGATTTAGGCGTACAAACTCTTACTCTTGTATATTCTCTAAGATCAGCAGACATCAGTCAGTCAATTTGCGTGCCTGATTAGTGACTTGTGGAATTGGTTCGGCTAATGCTTTGCTCTGTGATGCGAGGCACTAGCAAGTTGGATGGACAAGAAGCAGTAGGCTCTGGCACTTTACAGAGTTTCTTTGTGAAGTCCCCTAACTGTGAGTCTTGCTAGTGATCAAACTATGATAATGCTCTGCTCACATCACCACTTGCAGCAGAAGCAGACAATGCTTGCATCCCCTGCCCTAGTTGCTTACTTCAACCTTCATTGTTGGGTTGCAACATGTCCCTCTTTAGCACCTCTGATGTTTTCAGTACTTTCAACAGTATCCCCTGCTTCATGCATATACACTTTTATATTCCGGTGTCTGGATATTCGCCACCGATAAATTGTCATGGTTATTAACTTTAGTTGGATTTCTGGATTGCAAGGAAAATGCTGACAAATCAAAAAAAATGTTGTCAGTTTTTGTTTGAACTTCAAAGAGTTTTTGTTTGAACTCATAGGAGATGTTTGCCTAATTGGGTTAGACTGACTTGGCTCTTTCTTGGAGGAGACAAATCAAAAAAATGTTGTCAGTTTTTGTTTGAACTTCAAAGAGTTTTATGACTTGGCTCTTGAGCAAAAGAGTTGTGAGATTTTGTTTGAACTTTATTTGACTAGAGAAAATTACTGATTTTTTCCTTAAATGCTAGTTTATTCTGGATCTGTCATAGAGATTTTTCTTGTCCTCAGTTACACCGAAGATACTTTTCAGATCTTGGACTTGCCATTTCTGACACTTGTCCAATAAGTTGGTCCTCCAGGAAAAACAAAGACCGCAGCGGCCTGGCGAGAGAGCCAACTGGTGACTGCCACTGTGATGTTTTTCTTCCGGACGCACCTTGGCCTCTGGGGCTACGCGCACATAAAGAAAAATGCTGCCTTAGATCGTTTCTGCTGTCAAAATTAAAATGTTTGGCCGTGATGTTCAGTTTTTTAGCACAGTTTCAGTTCTATACGTTTTGACCTTTGAGCCATGCCCTGCTGGCCTGCTCCATGCTCCATGCTCAATTTCCTTGCAGTACAGACATGACATTCACAATGTCGTAGCCTGCACTCGACCTGACCTTGTAGATTTCTTTTTTTTTCTTGTTCATGCAGTCTTCAACAGCATACGTTGAATACCTCAATTCAGTCTCCATCGCGAAAAAAGAAAGAGAGATAGATTCACTCATAGACTACTGTGTATTGGTCAATTGGTTCATTACAACACAAAAAACAAGAATTTAAGTAAAGTAATTGAAACTCTGTACTGGTCAAGTAGTTTGGGAATCTTGCTGTGTTGGTGGTAGATCAATTGGAAGAAGCATAATAACATGCTTGGCATATAAAGAATACTTTCTTCAC